ACATAGTTGCTTAGAGTTGCAGCTGAGAGGCCGGCAAGTTAGGCGGGGAACGTTGGAGTCCGCAGTCACTGGAGCAAGCAAGCCTCCCTGCTCGCTTCAGTGCATGGCTGCCGGCCGCCATCTTGGTTGTCAGTTAATTTGCATATACTCACTGATTAGCCAATGGGAAGGGTAGTGGTCGTACGCTAATTACCATGTTTTTTATTAGTGTAGATGTACAAAGTGACATGCACATTAATGGTGAAGGAATAATAATTTGGCCTTTTAGGACCCAGGTGTTTTTTGTTTCTGAACTAACTATAAGTTTGAAAAATAGAAAGACTTGAATAGTGGTTGGGGTCTACAGATAGAAGTAGTAATAGATTTGCCTCCAAATCAATTAAATTACTTGACTGCTAGTGGGTGGGTGGTTTTGTGTGTAATGAAAACACTGAAATTAGAGCCAGGAGCTATGGGTTTTGCCTCTGGCTTTGACAGTCACTAGTTCTATGGCTTTGGGCAGGTCATCTAAATCCTTGGGCTGCTTTTAAAACAGCCCAACTGCCCAGCTGGTGTGGGTCAGTGGTTGAGTGTCAACCCATGAACCAGGAAGTCAGGTTTCGATTCCCAGTCAGAGCACATGCCCGGGTTGTGGGCTTGATCCCCAGTAGGGGTTGTGCAGGAGGCAGCCGATCAATGATTCTCTCACATCATTAATGTTTCTCTCCCCTCCCTTCCTCTTTGAAATCAGTAAAAATATGTACTAACTAGGCCTGGCCAGCGTGCTCAGTGGTTAAGCGTCCACCTATGAACCAAGAGGTCCCTGGTTTGATTCCCAGTCGGGGTTTCAGGCTTGGTCCCCAGTAGGGGGCATGTGGGAAGCAGCCAATCAATTTCTCTCTCTCTCATCTATGTTTCTATCTCTATCCCTCTCCCTTCCTCCCTCTCTAAAATCAATAAAGACATATATATTTTTTAAAGTACTAAGTAGGATCATAGAATTTTCAGAGTTGAATGAGTCTCAAAGTATTCAGGGAAATCCCCTTCATTTTCCTAAAGAGACTAAGTCATGGTTAATGAAATCCATTATCACTAAGCAAGGACTTATTGCTTCTTCTCATTATAGTAATAAGTGCTTTTAATTTTTTCATGCTGATTTAAATATTTTTTATTTCATGTACTGACTGGTGTTATTTATTGGAGTAACAGTTACAAAGTTTTCATTTGGATTAACATAAAAAGTTAGTTATCACAAGCATGTTCATTTAATGAATAACTTTTGAGCCAGATTTGTCTTTTATGGTATTTGGTGTATGAAAGGGTGACTCTCAAAATCTCTAATTTTAAGAGGATTACCCCCTCATTAGAATGTGGTCTAGTAACTTAGTATGAAAATCTTCCTCTTGGCCACTTAGGCTGTACACCACAGTGATTGAAAGCATTGGATTCTAGAACCAGATTTCCTGTGTTTGAATCCCAGCCCTGCCATGTACTGGTAATGTGCCCTGTACATGTTAATTAACTTCTATGTACTCTGATTCCTCATTTGTAAAATGGGAATAATTATAGTGCCTATGGGTTACTGGAAGATTAAATAAACTAATACATATAAAGTGCTTAAGAGAGTGTCTGGCACAAAATAAGTGATACATATTTTAACTAATACTATTGTTAGGCCATGATTGCTTCCATTTAACTTGTCAGCCGAAGTAAGAAGGTAGTATGTTACATATTTCATGTATATTTCTTTTTTAAAAACAATTTGATATAATTCCATTTTAGTAAGTTTTTAAAAAATATGTTATTGATTTCAGAGAGGAAGGGTGAGGGATAGAGAGATAGAAGCATCAATGATGAGAGAGAACCATTGATTGGCTGCCTCCTGCAAGTCCCACACTGGGGATCAGGCCTGCCACCTGGACATGTGCCCTGAATGGGAATCAAACTGTGACCTCTTAATTCATAGGTGGACGCTCAACCACTGAGCCATGCCAGCTGGGTGCTTTTTTTTTTTTTTTTTTTTTCCCAGACAAGAGCTCTTGCTCATTTTATTCAGTGATTTATATTCAGGAAATGTCAATATAATCTGCTTTAGGTAGAAACAACACAGACAAAAAAGAAATAAAATATCATTGTATGCCTGTTACTGAGTGTTCTCATATGTTGTTTTTAAAAAATACATTTAAAAAGTGTCATTTATGATGCTCTGCAGTATTTTACAGTATTAAATTATATTACTTAATTTCATATAATTACAATTTTTAAATTCTCAGATTTTTTTAAAGCTGGAAGGAAAGTAGTAAATCATCAAGACTAAATGCTTCACTTTATAAACAAGGGAATTGAGGTTCCAAGAAGTGAAATGACTTACCCAAAGTCACCGAGACTAGAGCTGGCAACCTCTCAAATCGATTGTTCTTTCTTCCTTGATGCCTGCTGTTCCACTTTCAACTTGTACTGTCATTTATCAAGCTTTCTCTAAAATACTATCTATAACAGAACATCTAGCTGGATAAGATGTTGAGTGTTTTTTGTTTGTTTTTCCAAAAGAAGGCTTTGATTAGTAATATTTCACTCCTTTAGGAAACACGTGTAATACTGTCCCTATTTATTTCAATTCAGTCAAATGTCCCTGGATGAATTCTTAGGTATATACTCAAGGGAGCAGGTTAAAACACACACACACACACACACACACACACACACAAAAGAGGTATTATTTGCCTTGTCCAACTAAGAAAGGAAATTTCATGGCAGATTTTATTAATCAGAGTGATCAAACAGTTAAATTGCAGCCTGTATTTTGTTCCTAGAGAATTTGAATAATCAATTCCACCAGTCTGCTATGCATATGAGGATATGTAAATATTTTAGATGTGCATTACAGAACCTATGGCATATACCCTGATACCGTGGTTATATATTTCCACTTTACCTGCTTTTAATCAATATTCATTTATGGTCTTTTTCTAGATTATGGTTGATTAAAAGTGCTAGACCATATAAATACAAGTATGACCATACGTTGCTTTTAAAAATAAATGATCGCCAAGTAACGTGGTCTAAGTAAAATGTTCTCTTTTTTAATTATGTAGTCCTCCTCGCCATCCTCATCACAGCCTCATTGTAGCCACTGCAGAACGAAGGCCTCATCATTGTGTCACCATGCATCCCTGCCCTGGGTCAAACGTAACCATGTAGACCCTGCAAAGGCTACCAGTCCATCTCTCCGTCTTCGTCGCTGGCGACCCTTCTTACGCCTACCATCTTTGGGTCTCCATTCTGTTGTAAGTGTAGTCAATCTACCATCTCTTCTTCCAGTGACAAGGGCAGTCCATTTTTTCCCTTAAACTTCTTCAGTCTTCAAAATGCTTTTCTCTTGGTTCACTCAACCATTAGTTTTCTCTCCCAGTAAGATTGCAAGCATACCTCCATGCTTTGCAGTCTAGCTTGACTTTCACCAATGCCTTGGTGAAATCCATCTTTCCACTTCATATCCTACCAATGCAAGAATGCCTGCCTTTTGATGAGTGTTAATTAACATTCATGATAATGTTTACGTTCCTGTCATTCATTAAAGTGAATATGTATTCTTTTACCCTTCATCTTTCTGATTTCATTTAGTTGACTCAGGTCAACAAATGCTGTGTACCTTCTGAGTTCTATACCATTTCTTACTTTTTTTTTTTTCATGTTTCTGAACATGACTTTAGGCTCTTGTCATGCTCTGGGGTGCTTTACTTACTCTATCCTTAATCTAATACTTCATGGTGTAGGGTATTTCATCTAAGCTATTTTTTCTTGAGGTGGCTCAGGTACTTGGTTTAATCTTGATCCAGTCTTCCCTGCCTATTCAGTTTAAAGAACATCTTTCCAAGTAAGAGGCGAAGGTTTTTTCCTTGTGAATTGATGTAGGCTTCCCACAAATTTTAGGATTTCTCCTTCTTGAGTAGATAATATTAGCAAACTATTTAAAAGTATGTATATATATTCTTATAATCTTGCTAATTTTCTTAAATGTTGAGGTTGATGATGGAATTCTAATTATTTTCATAATTGAAATAAACTTCAGGTTTCAGCAACTATAGCTCTTGTCTTTCTGATGTTTTAGATTATTAGTGGCAATGACTATGGATTGGTTGAACCTACCTAGAAATATTATATCTGAGAGATTTGGTATATGCCATACATTTATAAGAAACTTGACACTTCTGTAAATCATCATGACTTTCGAAGCCCGAGGAAGTCTGATTACACATAATGTTTAATGCTTAAAAAAAAATTGGTGTCAAACATTCTTTCCTCCCTTTACTTACTCTTCTAGAGCTATATTCAAATTCTGAAGTGGAGTCCTGGCACTTTTCCTTAAACATCTGCTTCCTCCAAATAGCAGTATGGTCATCAAAAGAGCCTTTGATTTTTGCTGAGTATCAACAAAACTACGGTGTCTCTATGTTTCATTATCCTCATTGGGTCACAGTGTGTATTTGTCATTTTATTCATTTATCATATTTGTTGTTTCCCTACTGTGTCAATTTGTACAGTAGGAGATATAAGGTGAATTAAATGATCAGAGTAAAACCCTAATTGTAAAGTCTGTCTTAGGCACAATGGATTCTAAATATGAATAAATTCCTTTGTACTTAAAATTATTCTAAATATAAATGAGCATATCATAAAATTTGTTTTTTCCAGGTTTATGTGTTTTTATATAATTTGATCTTTGCTCAATATTAATTCCATTGCTTTATATCTTCATAAATATTTTCATAGCCTAGTGGTTAAGAACACAGAATGACACTGCCTGGATTTGTGATCTAGAACATGTTACTTAATGCGTCCATGCCTCAGTTTTCTTGAGAGTAAAATGGGTATAATTATATTACCCACCTTGCAGGGTTTAAGTGATAATTAATTGGTCAGTACATATAAAGACTTAGAACAGTGCCTAATATATATTAAGTACCATACAATTATTAATTAAATTTCAACCATACCTTTTTATAATTTGAAATATCTGTTTAGTATTTACTTTCTATCTAATCAATTTGTTATATTACTTTTTAATTATTTGAGATAAGTATTTTATTCTAAATTAGGGAACTTTATAAAAAATAATATATATAAATGTAGGCAAAAATGATCCAAATCTATAGCTTCTGTTTTTTGCCCTTTGTTTATTATATGTTGGTCATTTTTTTAAAAATGAAAAACTTATTGGAATTTGCTTTTTATTTATTCTTGTTTTGGGGTGGAATCATTTTTAAGCAATGAATAATTACAGGTTTTTAAGCAATAAATAATTGCACTTTTCAGATTACATGTAGACAAAAGGAAAAGGCTCATAGCAATTACTGACACACAATTTTGAGTCACTAGATTTAGTGATTTCTTACATTTTGTGATAATGTAGTAGTAATATTATAATAATACAGAATGTTTAGTATCACTTAACAATTTACAAAGTAATACATTTCATTTAAACTTCAAAACAGACAACAAAATCAGTGTTTACAGGGATTGAGTATATATGTTCATATCTCTGACTCCAATTATACTACTTTTATCTCTAGTACAGTTCTATTTACTGGCAAATCGAAAAATGGAAGCTATAAGATGCAATATGCTTAGAAGAAATGGTGTTAAAATATTTAAAAATTTTTGAAAACATAAATCAAAAGATTTAAAATACTTGATATCCTGTTGGAGAATCGTATCTTAAAATGAGAAAACCAGACCTTTTCCTAGTTGGATAAATAATTCTTTCTGGCATTTTTTATAGAATTGAACTTATCATTTGTAGAATTGCCTAGGTTTAGCCTTGAAAATTTGAATTCTCTTTTGGTCATTAGTATTAGATTGAGCAATCAGTAATACATTTGATTCTCTGACCAGGAAAGTAAGGGAACTCGTGGTCACCATCTTTAATTATTTGAAGAAACATCATGCTCAGGAGCTATTAAACTTTTTATAAGATGATGGAAAACACTGGGAAACATATTTTAGCTTCAGTATGAGGGTCAAAGATGGAATGGATTGCTTCAAATTCTAGTGACAGTTCCCTGTTGTTGGAGGGTCTACCAGAAGTACGGGCTGTGGTAGAGAGGAGATTAACAACAGTAACCTAGGTGACTTTGATTGCTACCAACTTCGGAATTCTTTAGTTCTATGTTGAAATTAGGAAGAGCTAGTTTGCCACATCAATTTCTGTTGCTGTTCTCTCATTCATAAACTTGAAGAAATTAATTTCTGAAGAATAATGTGAGATTACATGAGTCACTCTATCTGTAAATGTTTTAAGAGCATTCAGTAAATCCAAGATAGTGTTTCTTCTGTATCTTTCAATTTCTGCATCTGAAAACTTCATATTACAACTACTTAAAATTACGTAATTACTAACGAGTAAAGAAAAATACACATTTTAGAGTTAAGCTACTATTGTGTTACAGGATGTTAGGTAATATGAGAAGTAATTTGATTTATGCCTTGTGAAAACTTTGTTTCTAAAATGTGTACTTGCATTTAACACTGATGGTACTTCATTTCACACCATTTAGATTTGATAAATAGCTAACACATATTTGTGTTAATTGTGTAGTTACTGCGTATTAAAGACAGTGTGAGTGAATCATGTATTGACTTTGCATAAGTTACTTGAATGTTTAACAAATGTAGCAGATATTGCTCATGAAAATTGAATTTGGTAAGCCAAAATAGTTTTAATTTCAAAGCGTTTACTAAGAAAGCAAGAAAAAATTTATAGGCTACAGTTAGTTGTATTTTAATTTGCTCTTATCCTTATTTTCCCCCTTTAACCTTTTGGGTTATTTTCCTGCGTCTATTCATTTAGAAACCTTTTGAATGTAGGATGAGTAAAGGTACTTATTTTACCCTAAAACTCTTTATGTTCTATTTTTTAAAAAAGTAATATTATCAAGGATCAAGTTATTAAGGGGAGAACTCACTTTCTTGAAGTCTTAAAACTTAAAGAGAGTTTTTAAAACTCTGTTTATGCTATTAAAATGTAAAAGATTTTCTTTCTCAAATTTCAAAAATTAGACAAATCACTTTATGCATTCATTTCATTCAGAAAGTGTACATTGCACATTTACTATATACCAGGCATTGTGTGAAGTGCTGGGCTTTTGAAGGTGAACAAAGCTTTAGGGTATTTAGATTGTTGAGATTAAGAAAAATGTGCTTGTAGTTGACATTTTTCTTGTTGATGGGTGAGCACGTTGTTATAAATGTAAACATATTTACTAATTGTCCACTATATCAAAGGTTAAGCCTTTAATTATTTTGGATAAATGTTCTCTGATGTGATTTGATACTTGTATGTGTTTACATGTACTTGCTTGATTTGTTTGACTATAAACATATGTAATATGTATGTTTCCTCCTATTGCAGGCACCAAATATAGATGAAAAAGTAGATCTTCATTTTATTGCATTAGTTCACGTAGATGGGCATCTCTATGAATTAGGTAAGAACTTTAAAAATTTACTCTGGGGAGAGAAATTGAAAATGAAAAAGTCTGTATTTATGATAAACAGGATTGCTGATATTTATTATTTACTTAAATTAATTGCCTTATAGCATTGAATTGGCATAATGAAAGTTTTTCATTTAAGACTTTTTACTAGAAAAAATCAAATTTTTCTTTGATGTTCAAGCAACTTAAAATTCAAGAATGTTTGCATACCACCTTTACATTTTAGCAAAGCAGTAAAGTAAAAGTCATTATAGGAAACTCCTGTAAATCACTCCCAGCACTTTTTACTAAATTATTGAGATAGATATCATCAACATCTGCATGAGCCATTTTGATCCTGAAACTAGTTTTAAGACATAGTGTAATATTCGTGTCTAGTTTTTATATTTGGTAATGAGTATTACTAGTTTTCAGGCTTTTGTACTATCCCTTTGTATTACATCTTACTTTTTAAAAAAATGTGTTTTTATTGATTTCAGAGAGGCAGGGAGAGAGAGAGACAGATAGAAACATCAATGATGAAAGAGAATCATTGATCAGCTGCCTCCTGCACACCCCCAACCAGGGATTGAGCCCACAACCTGGGCATGTGCCCTGACTGGGAATCGAACCATGACCTCCTGGTTCACTGAGCCACACTGGCTGGGCTACATCTGACTTTTTAAAAGACTTTACAGGAGTCTGTTTTCTGGCAACAACTTTCTAAGGCATATGTCAAACTACACATGATTAATTACTTAGTATTTTGGCACTTAGTTTTTAAAAAGTTTAACTATAGGTAATTATTTCAGGGACTATTTGGAGGAAATCTTCATAATTTTAATTGTTTCATTTAGATAGAGAACTTCTTATGACTCCTTCATAATTGATCTATAGTACTTTAGTACTTATGAGTCCTTCTTGTTCTTCTCCATGAGACCTTCTTGTGTTAAAAAAAGAGGGGGGGGGTAAATAAACAAACAAAAAAGTGAAGTACTTTTCAATATTAACTTGCCACTTTTAATTTTCTTAACTTATTTAAAGACAGAGTTTTTAAAATTTTTATTACAGTTTGCATTCAACACTTTTCTTGTACTAGTTTCAGGTGTACAGCATAGCTGATAGACATTCATGTAAGTTAAGGACAAAGAGTTTTGAAAGAACTCAGATTACAACTGCAAATGAGGTCCATAAAATTTAGATGGATTTTGTGTTTGAAATATGCTAACAAAATTATATAATTTATTAAAAAGAAAGTGCTCTATTAAAGGGGAAAAGGAAAGGAAATAACATATTTGTAAAAATTGATGGTGGCCTTCTATAGTCAAATGATTTCAGTAGGAATCAAACTAAAATGAAAAGAAATTGTTATGGGAGTATATAACAGACCTCAGAGCTTCACTAATTTATTCCATATATATTTGCTAAGTCAGTCTATAAAATTTATATAGAGATAAAGTATAATAGTGATTGGGGATTTCAGTTGTGTGACTGATTGCTGGAAACTTTATTTCCACTCTGAATAATAAAGAATAACTAGTAGAAATGGAAATAAAGAGAGTGCTGAGACTTTACCAGACACATTCTGTTGACTTCAAGGAAGTAGATTTAGAAAAGGCCAGAGAAATGATACATATTATCCATAACCAGGGACTAAAAAGTAATGGTGACTTTCAGGATGAAACACTTAGTAATAAAATAAACAATAACATTGAAAAGATACTTAGAAAAAATAAATCTATGATCAATGGGAAGCAAAGAGTTGTCTAAAAAACTCAATTTGACTAGTTAGCTAGCAGTAGAAAGAAACATATATCAAAGGTAAACTACATATGAAGAATGTCCTATTTTGTAGCATGCCAAGATCAACACAAAAGTATTTTAAAATTGGTTTGAAGTAAGAATATCAGAAAAGAAAGGCAGAACTACTGAGACCTTGTTTGTTTCAGGTATTCTTTAGCAAGAATGATCAGTATGGCTGATGGAGAATTAGAGCCCTTGGGAGATAGCAATCTTTAAAGGAGTTTAAAGAACTTCAGTTCTAAACAATAGTCATAATCTTTGATATATCAGAGCAGGGGGATACTTATAAGACAAATGTGGATGGACAGTTGCAAGGGAAATTGACAGTAACCCTGATATACATTCCTAATAAATTCACAAGGAATCTTGAGCAAGAGGAGAATTGAGTTATTCAATAAAAAATTGTAGATGAGCCCTAACCAGTTCAACAATTCACTTTACAATTGCATCAAAAAGAATTCAATACCTAGGAATAAATAATAACCAAGGAGGGAAAAGGTCTGTACTTGGAAAATTATAAAACATTGAAGAAGATACAAATAAATGGAAGCATATATTGCACTCATATATAGAAAGAACTAACATTCTTAAAATGTCCATACTACCAAACGCAATCTATAGACTCACTGCAATCCTTATCAAAATACCAATGGCATTTTTTAAGAACTGGCATGAAAACAGATGCATACATCAATAGAACAGAATAGAGAGTCCAGAAATAAACCCACACCTATGTCAATTTATGACAGAGGAGGCAAAAATATATAATGGGGTAAAGATAGTCTCTTCAATAAATGGTGTTAGGAAAGCTGGACAGATACATGCAAAAAAATGAAACTAGATCACTTTCTTAACACCATACACAAGAATAAACTCAAAATGGATTAAAGACTTAAATGTAAGACTCATAAAACTCCCAGAAGAAAAGATAGGCAGTAAACTCTTTGACATTGCTCTTAGTAATATTATTTTGGGTATATCTCATTGGTTAAGGGAAACAAAAGAAAAAACACACAAATGGGACTACATCAAACTAAAAAGTTTTTGCACAGAAAAGGAAACGATCAACAAAATGAAAAGACAGCCTACCAAATGGAAGATATTCGCCAGTGGTACATCCAATAAGGGGTTAATATCCAAAAGATATGAAGAACTCATACAACTCAACACAAAAACCCCCACAAACACTCCAATTAAAAAATGGGCAAAGGACCTGAACAGACACTTCTTCAAAGAGGACATACAGATGGTCAATAGACATATGAAAAGATGCTCAAAATCACTAATCGTGAGAGAAATGCAAATTAAAACCACAATAAGTTATCACCTCACACTTATCAGAATAGCTATCAAGCCCTGGCCAGTTTGGCTCAGTGGATAGAGTGTCAGCCTTTGGACTGAAGGGTCCCAGGTTCGATTCCGATTGGGGGCACATGCCCGGGTTGTGGGCTCAATCCCCAGTGAGGGGCGTGCAGGAGGCAGCCGATCAATGATTCTCTCTCATCATTGATGTTTCTATCTCTCTCTCCCTCTTCCTTCCTCTTTGAAATCCATAAAAGTCTATTTTAAAAAATAAAATTAAAAAATTTTTAAAAAGAATAACTATCAATAAATCAACAAACAAGTATTAGTGAGAATGCAGAGAAAAGGGAACTCTCATATACTGTTGGTGGAATACTATAGAATACAGTATGGAGGTTCCTCAAAAAAATTAAAAATAGAACTACAGTATGACCCCACAATTCCACTTCTGGGTATTTATCCTATTAAATTCAAAATACTAATATGAAAAGTATATGCTTCTTTATGTTCATTGCAGCATTATTTACAATAGCCAAGCTATGGAAGCAACCTCAGTGTCCATCAGCAGACGATTAGATAAAGAAGACGTGGTACATGTATACAATGAAATATTACTTGGCCATAAAAAAGAATGAAATCTTACCATTTGCACTAACATGGATTGACCTAGAGTGTATTATGCTAAGTTAAATAAGTCAGAAAGACAAATACCATGTGATTTCACTTATATGTGGAATATAAAAGAAAAACAATAAATGGAACAACAAATCAGAAACAGATTTGTACTTACAGAGAACAAATTGATAGTTGCCAGATGGGAAGGGCATTGGGGGCTGTGTGAAAAAGGTGAATGGATTAAGAAGTACCAATTGGCAGTTACAAAATAGTAACAGGAATATAAAGTACAGCATCTATATAATAAAAGCCTAAGCGACGGTTCTGGCAGAACAACCAGAACGACCAGTTGCTATGATGCGCACTGACTACCAGGGGGCAGACGCTCAACGCCGGAGCTTCCCCCTGGTAGTCAGTGCACTCCCACAGGGGAAGTGCCGCTCAGCCAGAAGCCAGGCTCATGGCTGGTGAGCACAGCAGCAGTGGCAGGAGCCTCTCCCACCTGTGTGGCAGTGCTAAGGAGCAGCAAGCCAGCGGGCGGTAAGGAGCAAGGGGTCCCAGATTTCGAGAAGGATGTCCGACTGCCGGCCTAGGCCCATGGGGAGCGGGCCTAAGCCGGAAGTCAGACATCCCCCAAGGGCTCCCGGACTGCGAAAGAGTGTGGGCTGGGCTGAGGGCCCCCCCCACCCATTACACGAATTTCGTGCACTGGGCCTCTAGTAAGAAATATAACCAATAATATTATAATAACTGTGTATCGTGCCAGGTGGGTATTGGAAATAGCAGCAGCAGTACTGTAAAGTATATGATTGTCTAACCACTGTACTATACTCCTGAAAGTAATATAATATTAAATGTCAACTGTAATTGAAAAAACATTTTTTTTTTCAAAAAGATTAAAGGAATCAAAAAGAAAATGGTAATTAAGAGAACACATGGTTTTTAAGAAAAAAATAATTTTTAAGTAACCATATTTTTTTTGTTTGGTTAATTTTTGCTTATATTTTTTCTTTAAATGTGGTATCTATTAGTCCAAGTCTATTACTACATACACATATTGACTAAAAATTTTATTATATTTAGAAACCATAGTGTTATAGAAGGGATTGTGTTTTATGAATTGTACTTGAAGTGCCACTTATAAGACATCTGAGATGATAAATTTTGATGCACAGGATGGGGCAAAAGTAAATTTACAGTTGTAAGTATGCAAAACACAGAGTTTGTTCTTGTATTATTATTTATTAATTATTGTAATATTTTCCATTCGAACATTTGTAAACCTACTTTGTGTAGAGTTATCAGTTACCTTTGGGTAGCATGAGTTTATATAATTCTAGACTTTTTCATAGTATTGAAAAATTACTAGTTTATTCAAGTGACTATAGTTGCAGTTAGTTATTTTTGCTGGTCAGTAAAGTAATCCTAGTTTATTTAGATTATTATTCTATACTACTACCTTGGAGGTACACAATTAGTAGTAATATATAAAACTTGGGATGGCTCCCTTTTGTTGATGTAAACATGTCATTCTTAGAAGCCTTCTGATTTAACTCTTAAAGTGAAGAAATAATTTTTTTTTCATATCTCTGAGGGTAAAAACAGATCCTAACTTAAAAAACTGACTTACTTTTCATATTCTTTTTAGGAAATTAAATCAAGCCAATATGTATTTATAATAAATTCTGTTTATGAAGATAATTTAGGTTTTCAAACATGTAAGCAAGGTTCTAATAACTTTACTTTTAATCTAATAACTTTTAATGTTAAAGAATATTCATAGGTAGTACATTTAAAATACTTGTTTTAGGACATATTATTTTAAATAATCATTTAACTTTTGCCTCACTCTGAGAGGAGGAAAGTGGAAGGTGAAAGTACATTATCTTGTACAAACAGCTAAACATTCAACTGTTTGTCTATTTTTTATAGATGGACGGAAACCATTTCCAATTAACCATGGTGAAACTAGTGATGAAACGTTATTAGAGGTAAGAGTAAAACTTGGCCCACTTTAAGTGTTATTAATGTTCTGGTTATCTTTGAAACATCTCTAAAACTCACGTGTATAACATTTTATCTATATTTGGATACTTCCTTGTCCTTGCTCTCTTGAAAAAATCCAAAAAGAAAAATTTGAACTAGTGTTAACCTATAGCAAATAAAGAAGTTTTCAGAGCTCTTTGTGTGAACAAGTATCAAATTTGAAAAAGGCAAGAATAGTTTTGCTCTGGCTGAATGGCTCATTTGGTTTGAGTGTCGTTCCATACACCAAAAGGTTGCAGGTTTGATTCCCAGTCAGGGCACATACCTAGGTTGGGGGTTCTATCCCCATTTGGGGGCATATGGGAGGCAACCAATCTATGTTTCTCTCTCTCCCTTCCTCTCTCTAAAAATTAATAAAAATATATCCTTGGGAGAGGATTTAAAAAAGAAGAAAAAGGCACATTGTATCCCATATTTCATTAGATCCACAATATCATTTGTATCTTGATCTTGATTTTAGAGATCTATCCTTGGGAGAGGATTTAAAAAAGAAGAAAAAGGCAAGAATAGTTTTGAAAGAGTTGCACATTGTATCCCATATTTCATTAGATCCACGATATCATTTGTATCTTGATCTTGATTTTAGAGATTTTTAAATTTATGAACAAATTGTGTGGCTTAGAATCAATGAAATGTAATTGTCAAGTTAAAAGTTTCTTAAAAGCATTTTAAGAAAGAATACTTACTGTATCTTATACTTTTGGACTAAGCTAATTAGGCCACGAAATGTTCGTTCTTCTGGTGTGCTTTTAGTTATTCTTCATTTGGAAAAACAAGTGTGCAGTGTAACATTAGTACAAACTAGGAAAGTATGAAACACTTATGATTTGCAAGTAAAACACAAGTTTATAAACTGAAAATTTATATTTTCCCCCATAGGATGCCATAGAAGTTTGCAAGAAGTTTATGGAACGTGACCCTGATGAATTGAGATTCAATGCAATTGCTCTTTCTGCAGCATAGTTTGTCAATAATGGAAACACCAAGTACTGTATTATTTGCAACAAAAATTTCATTTCTGCTGCCATACACTGTCTCAAAAATTTTGATATTTTCATTAACTTGACTGATTAAACTTTATGTGAATTAAACTTTGACTTAATCTGTTTTATATACTTTGTCCTGAATTAAAGCTGCATTTCTTTTCTTCCCTTTCTTTCCTGTGAAGGATTTAGCTTGGTTGATGACTAGCAATAACCTTCTTATTCTCTTTAAAGTTTTATGGTAAGTTTTGTATTGGGACACAGACACAGTTTCCATCTGCATAGTGTGTATATTCGGTGTCCCAAAAACATGTATGCACACTTTTAACAGCTGATAGCTCAATTGATGTTTCTTTTCAGCCAGACTAAGCTTTGAACAAAGGAAATTCATCCTAAATGCTATTGGAAGTTTGAAAATGCGGTTGAAGTGCAAACACTGCCTTTATAATTATTCAGAATGTATATATATTTTGTATACACCCTGTGTTCCCAAAAATGTATACATACTTCAACAACTAATAACTCACTTCATATTCATTCCTTTTCAGGTTTAACTGATTGAAATATGGGTGAAGCTTTGAACAAAGAAAATTTACCCAGTAGACTTTTTTATGGGGATATATAAAAGGTAAAGTTTACTGTACAAAACTAGGAACAGTCAACGAATGGAGAGGACACAAATACCGAATGAAATGATTCTTGATGTTTGTGATTTCACATTATCAACATTGCCTGGACCAGAACGGTCATCAGTTTGAAAACAGGCACTGACAAAAAAATTACTCATTTCTGTAGATTCTTTTAAATTTTGAAAATAAACTGTAAATAAACACTGACTTTATAATCATTCAATGTGTGCATACACCTTTTGGGGACACCCTCTGTAAATCATGTGATAACATTTATTTAGCAAACATTTGTTGAGCATCTAATTGCAATGATCAGGACAGCATTCTAGGTGCTGGAGTTACACCTGTGAGCACTGTTGACAAGTTCCATCATCATGGGGCTTATGTTTTTTGTGAGAAGAGATAAATAAAACACATTAATAAGATACATGCTAACAATAGATGCTATGCAGAAAATTAAAGTCAGATTTGTGTTAGACAGTCTGAGTGTCTACTTTAGATTTTGTGGTCAGGGGAGGTTTCTGTAAGGAGGTAACTTCGAAGTTGAGCTCTGAATAGCAAAAGTAGCCACTAACAGAAAGGTGGGGGGGAAGAGAAGAGGTAATAATTAATGCAGATCCCTAAAGTGGGAATATGTCACTGTGTTGTAAGACTAGAAAGAAGATTCATGTGATCAGAATACAGGAAGTAATGGAGAAAAAGGAGGGGCTTAGTGATACAGAAATGCAGGAAAAGGCATTGGATATATTACAGCTGCGATGTAAATCCTTGGAGGGTTTTAAGCAAGAGAGTGACCTAATTTGATGTATAATTTTAGGAGGTCACTAAATACTCTGTGGATAATATTTTGGGATGGGGTAAGAATAGAGGTAGAGAGACTTGTGAGGAGCCCACTGCATTTGTTCAGTTGGAGATGATGGCCAAGTCGTGAAAGTGCAGTCGTTCTCCTTATCTGGGGTTTTGCTTTCCACAGTTTCAATTAGCTATGGTCAAACACAGTCTGAAAATATTAAATGGAAAATTCCAGAAATAATTCATAAGTTTTAAATTGTGCACCATTATGAGTAGCATGATGAAAACTCACACTGCCCTTCTCTGTCCTGCCTGGGCCGTGAATCATCCCTTTTTTGTTCATCATATCCACGCTGTTTGCACTTTGCCTATTAGCCACTTAGCCTTCTCAGCAGTTCCACCATCATGGTATCTCAGTGCTTGTATTCAAAGGGCAAGAGAAGTGATGCTGGTAATTCAGATATGCCAAAGAGAACCCATAAAGTGCTTCCTATAGGTGAAAAGATGTGTATGTAGAGGAAAAACGTATTTGCTGTCATCCACAGTTTCAGGTATCGACTGGGGTCTTGGAACATATGCTCCATGGATGAGGGGGAAATGTTATAGTAGTAATTTAGATAGAGGTTTATGAGTGGATTTGGGGCGTGTTTTGAAGAAGGAAGGGTTTCAGTTGAGAATGAAAGGATAGGTGGGAGGCAGTGGGAAGGTGGCAGGGTTATTTACAGAGCTGGGTCAAAACAGGGTTGTGTGATGGCAATGTCCTTCCTATAGCATTTTGGGGGAGAGTATTGGTTACACAGGTGTATACATGTATGGAAACTCAATGAATTAATTGTTCATTTAAAATCTGTACTTCACTGTATATTCATTTTACCTTAAAAAAGTTTTTAAAAAGCAGAGCTGAATTGGGTTGGCTAGAATCATAACTTTTAGGAGAAAGACTAAATTGGTCCAGAATGAAGCTCTTGATAAAATTGAGTGTAAATGTTTATATAGGATCTACTAAGTTAATGTAGATTCCTGAGACAGTATCATGAGATAAGTGGTATTTTAGGAAAAGTAATAGGGCCATGGCTTGCAGAATGGATTAGATCTTTGTTATTATTCTAAGTATGGTTGCATCAATATTACCTGAAAACTTGTTAGAAATGAAGAATTCCAGACCCCACCTTAGACCTACTAAATCAGTAAGATCTTACTGCATTTTAGGTAAGATCCCTGAGTGAGTCATACATACTAAGTTTGGGACTAAGGAAGATTTACCAACTTTCTATGGTGAAGAGGGCTTGAATGAAGCGATAGCAGTAGGAATGGAGAAATAATCTGAAGCAATTCGATAAATTATGTAGCTGATGCTTTTGTCATGCCAATTAACAACCACCTAGTATTATATTCTTTTGTTACATTGTTTGCATTTTGTATTCATTTCTGTCTTGCATATTTTAAATATTTTAAATATTTCTGAGCAGTTTTCTACCTGTTGCCCTGCAGGATTTCTCATACTATATGATTTCTTTTTTTTTTTTTTTAAATATATTTTATTGATTTTTTACAGAGAGGAAGGGAGAGAGAGAGTTAGAAACATCGATGAGAGAGAAACATCGATCAGCTGCCTCCTGCACATCTCCTACTGGGGATGTGCCCACAACCCAGGTACATGCCCTTGACCGGAATCGAACCTGGGACCTTTCAGTCCGCAGGCCGATGCTCTATCCACTGAGCCAAACCGGTTTTGGCCTCATACTATATGATTTCTTAATAGGGCCTTAATGGCATCTCACTAAGAATTTACATAGTTTCTCAGTATTTAATATGAAAATACTGTCTTGGCCCACTGTTAATGGATAAGAAAGGGTTGAGATTAAGTACCTTTTGAAAATATTGGGTTCAAGTTACTTTTTAAAATGGAGATATATTAAGTGGGGACAATTGCAGAACTCAGTTTTTTTTTTTAATTATTCTGTGTCTTATGAATATCATTTCTAAACATTTTATGGAGCAACATTTAGAACTAGCATTCTTTTGCACACACTTTAGGATAACAGTCCTGCCGGGGTTCTTGTTCCAGCATCAAGAAGGGTTCAGCAATCTGGAGAAGGGGCTGTGCATAACTTAAAGAGTCCAGAGTCGAAATATAATTCTGAAAGGCATTGGGGGTCAGAGGAGCCTAGCTAAAGAAACTAAGATCTCCTCATCTCAGGACCCCATGCTTTTTATTAACACAAATTGTCCTGAGGCGAGGCAGAGATATACACTTCAAAGGGTAGGGTTTCATATACAGAGGCATTGTCAGAATGGGGGAATTAGCCTACGGCTGTTCAAGTGTTTGGCCAGTAGGAGGCAATAACATGTAGATTAAGATGCCCTGAGCTGTCTGGCAGCAAGCAATCATCCCTTTTCAGGTTTGGGGAAATGCCTTTAGCCATTCCCAGTAGGCAATAACGTATGTGACTCAGCCCTTGTTGAGTCCCCAAATTCCATCAATCTTTTGATGAAACTCTTGCAATTATGACATGCTGGAATTGGCTTCTGGCACAGTCCCTTGTGGAATATAAATCTTGAAAATTTTCTTTTGCTTCTCCTTTCTTAGGTTATATCTAGAATTTTAGTCCTTCTCCAACTCTATTTCTATCAATACTTAGTTTAATCACTTTCTTAAAACTTAGCACTTATAGAAGAGATTAAATTTGTATGGAAACTTACAAAGAGACACTAAGAGTGATCAAGTTGTGGCTCATTTCTGTATATTGCTGTTAATGACCATAATACATGCGGGGCAATGAAACTTAAATGGGAACTGAAACTTGAAATGTTTTCACTTGGTGGACTTTTGGGAATTGACTAAACATCACCTTTCACCAGACGTAATGGTTTGCTTTATATTATTGAAACAGAGGAGCATTTATGAACTCCACAATATTTAACCCCTAATATTTTCCATGTTCATTTGTGATTAAAACCAAAGTTCAAACTAATATATCTTAAATGGAAACCATCATTAATGTATAAAAATTATTTAAAGAAATCTGATTTATTTGTGTATAGTACTTATTAGGTAAGCTTTATCATTGGGTTGTATAGGACATACAACCTGCTTGTTTAAACAGTTTAAGAGAGATTTTCAGCCATTAATTGTCTTCCAAAATAAAGCATCTATAAGCTTAAGATTCTTGCCCTGCTGGTGTGGTTCAGTTGGTTGGAGCATCCTCAGGCCCATCAAAGGATTGTGGGTTCGATTCCCCGTTAGGGCACATACCAGGTTATGAGTTGGATCTCTGGTTGGGGCACGTGTGAAAGGCAACTGATCGATATTTCTCTCTCACATCTATGTTTCTCCTTCCTATTTCTCTAAAAATCAACATTTTTAAAAAAAGATTCTTATACCGGTACTTGCAAGAAAATTCTAAAGGGGGATAGTTTTCTTGCCATTGTAATTAGTTATTAATATTAATAATAGGAAGCAAAAGGAGGCCAGACATTATAAGCATGGTCATCTGGGCATCTTCACTAGGAAGCTGCAATTTCACTCTCCCCAGGGAACCAAGGGTCCATTCCCTGCAAATCAATAGGGGAAGGGACTGGACAAAGGGGAAGATGGGTGCATACAAAGTAAAGTTGGACTGATGCAGGGAAAATGCGTGTCTGTCAGTCTAACCTGGGAGCAAAGGTCATTGGCTAGAGGGGTGGGGCCCATGAAAATTTGGGAATACATAATCCCTAGACAAAGGAATTCTCTCTCTCTCTTGTTCCTCTGGCTTTGCACCTGCTTCCATGCTCTCATCTATGTACCCTTCATAGTCATGTGGCCCTAGAGGATGTATGGCCCATGGCCATGTGGACCCCACATGCAATGACTGCATCTGGGAACATAAGCTAACCTAGCCAGATGCTGGACAGGACTGTGTTAGGACTATAGGGCAGTATGATCCTTAGTCACCATTTGTAGCTTCCCACCACAGGAGAACAAAGACCAGAAATCAGACCATATAAAGAATTAAACTGTCCTAAAGACACCTGATTGCACACCTGCATTCCATCCACACCAAGCTCACCAACTCAGCCTCCCGCCATTGACTGCATATAAGGTTGAAACTCCAGCTCCTGTCATCAACCCAGTGTTCCCTTGGCTCTGTGCTGTTCAGCCCTTCCCTTTGGGCATCCTATCCCCCATCCCCTTTTCCTTAAATTCAATTTTTCTTAAATCACTGTCTGAGATGGCTATATAGCCTGCCCATGCACCACCATGTTAAACCTTTCATACCGTGCAAATATGGGATGGAAACTCTGGGCAATGGCTTTAATCCTAGCTCTGCTAAAGACGAAATGGGACTTTTTCCTTGGCAGGACAGAGAGACATGGGATCTTGGAAACTCAGAGATTTAATTCCATGTATATAAATATCACTCATTCTCTCATGCAAGTCTCAAAAAATTCCTTTTCTCGTTACATTGCAAGAAGCCCACTTCCACCACCAACAGGTGGGGACACAGAGAGTTTCATCACTTTTTACATTTTTAAAAAAATTATTGATTTTATAAATCAAATCAGAGAGGAAGAGAGAGAAACATTAATTTGTTGTTCCACTTATTTACACATTTGATTGCTGCTTGTATGTGCTCTGACTGGAGATCAAGCCCACAACCTTGGTGTATCAGGACAACGCTCTAACCAACTGAGCTACCTGGCCAGGGCCTAAGCTTTTCTATTTAGAGAAATGTATTTCTTTTAGAGAAAGCCTATATATATATACACACATACACATACACATACACACACACACACACACACACACATTACCTGGGAAATAACATGTGCATGTGTACATATGTGTATGTACTAGTGTATATGTATGTACACTCATGCTCACATACATTCATACTTTGAATAGGCAAATAACTTTAGTCCCAATTTTCTGTATATTATTTAAATCCCTGACTGAGGAGGTGAGGTTTTGGCTCTGAGTGATCCTCCTCCATCTGCTGTGTAGTGGCTGCTGGCCTCGCGGGAACAGTGGCCATGGACAGCTGGGGCGCTTTGCTCTCCTTCCAGCCGGAGAGGGATGTGGTGGGTCCTCCAGGGTGAAATTCCGGATTTCCCCGGGTCTTCCGGTAGGAGCCGTGATCAACTGTGCTGACAACACAGGAGCCGAAAATCTGTATATTATTTCTGTGAAGGGGATCAAGGGACGACTGAACAGACTTCCTGCTGCCGGTGTGGGTGGCATGGTGATGGCCACAGTCAAAAAAGGCAAACCAGAGCTCAGAAAGGAGGTACATCCAGTGGTAGTAATTCGACAACGAAAGTCATACCGGAGAAAAGATGGCGTGTTTCTTTATTTTGAAGATAATGCGGGGGTCATAGTAAACAATGAAGAGGAAATGAAAGGTTCTGCCATCACAGGACCAGTTGCAAAGAAGTGTGCAGATTTGTGGCTCAGGATTGCATCCATTGGTGGCAGCATTGCATGATTCTCTGGTGTATTTGTAAAGGAAAAACCAATTAAAAATTGGTGATATGAAAAAATAAAATATAAATATTTCTCTCTTTTCCACGACCAGCACAGCTAGAGAGCGGACAGGAGTCCTGAGTAGGGGCAACGGGGGATTGAGAAAATGAAAGAGACAGACACAAAGACAGTAGGGAAAGCTGGGACCAGGTGGGACAGCTGTCCTCTGATGGAGAGACAGGGACCCAGAGCCGATACAGCTTATTTATTTTATACAATAAGATACCAGGAAGTTTTACTAAAGTTTAAGATAAAGAAAATATGTGCATTGTGGTGGCTTCTTTGTAATAGTCACTTCTGGGTGGGCCCGGATAATTGTGTTTGTTCCTGGTGCCTGGCTGGATTTAGATAATATCCACCCCCGGCACCTGAGCTAAAGGTCAGACTGACAACTCACCTGCCTCTGGCAAGGTATGCTTCCAGGGCATGGCTCTGCCAGGCACCACTGGATTCAGACGACAATCAGCTCAGGGGCCTTTCCCAGGTGCTCTCTACAATAAAAAATAAAAAATAAAAAAAAATCCCTGACTGAAGTTAAAGTAAAATCACTTTGGAAACTGTGTCATCATTTTAAATGGTTTTTAGAGCTAACTTAGAAGGCTTTGTACACACATACATATAGCTTAATAGTTAATTTTTTTCATTTTAAAACTTTATGCTTCAAAAGACAATACATCAAGAAGATGAAAGATCCTCTGAATGAAATAAAACACTTGAAAATAATATAAGTGATAAGGGTTAAGTATCTAGAACAGCGATTTTCAACCTTTTTTATCTCGTGGCACATATATGCTAATTACTAAAATTATGCAGCACAATAGTTAATGTTTTTTGCTTATAAAAGTCTGCTGTAATATCTTAAAACGAAGTCCCTTGTGCTTTCAACAAAATTACAGTACAACTAAAAACTAGGTGTAGCATATGCTGAATTTTTCAGATCGCAGAAATTGAGTTTTATCATTTACTTTGCTCTTTTGATTTCAAATTTTTGACCTCTTAAGTGCATAAAATATTGTGTTGTTGAAGGCTCCATGTCATGAAGGGCATTTATTTTTTTGGTGTCAATGATATCAGTGGATCAGACAAGTACACCATGCCTTAGTGTACGGTTATGTTTTTACTTGTTTTGTTTTTCAATAAAAGTTATTCTAAATCTTTCTCTTGACTTCTTTGTTTAGGATGGTGATCCTGAACCTGTTTGTTGCTTCCACCTAATTGATAGGGGAGAGTCCCAAGTTTGACATTTCCACACTCCACACCTAGATATTCTGTGGGAGGTTATGTAGACAATAACAGCTATATATATTATGAGCATTATCTTATATTCTAATTGATAAGGTGGTTGGTAATCTTTGGTTTAGAGGCATTACATTTACATAACCTCTACTGAAAGCTATTTTGCAAAATGGATTACTTAAAATAATTTAAAATGCTTAGAAATATATAAAAAACATTTTAATCTATAAGACAGGTATGTGTATAAATTGAATAACTCAAAATAAAAATTCACGTGATCAAGAACAAATCCCAAATGATATGGATGACACATTTGATTGTCTGTGTCCTTTATCAGTATGCTAGAGGCCCGGTGCACGAATTTATGCACGGGTGGGGTTCCTCAGCCTGGCCGGCAATGGGGGCTGATAGGGGCCATCTCGCCCAGTCCCCATCAGGGCTAATCGGGGCCTGCCAGCCAGGGGGAGGAACCACAGGAGGTTGGCCAGTTGTGGGAGGTTGGCTGTGGGAGTGCACTGATGACCAGGGAGCAGCTCCTGTGTTGAGTGTCTACCCGCTGATGGTCAGTGTGCGTCATAGTGGCCAGTCAACCGGTCGTTCAGGTGACTGTTCGTAATGGTTGCTTAGGCTTTTATATATATAGATAAACGAAATTGGTATTCAAGTTATGTTCAATATTGTATCCTTTAAGAGCTTAAAGGTTAAGATCTCTGTGTCCTACACATGTTCTGGAGGATAAGATGAAAATAAATTGCTTGAGGCTTTATTTGTATCCTAAACATGAAAGACAAAGTACATGCATGCAAAGGTTGTAAATTAGACTATTCTTAAAGAATGTTGTAAAACCTGTCTGATGGAAAGTTGCCTATTGAGAATTTAACTACCAGTGGTACACAATGACAAAAGACTACATTTGAATTTTCCTTTAGGGCTAAGTGTTAGTTACTTTTCTTAATTCTGCCCTGAATACTAAATATTTGAATCCAGAAGTTCCTCCTTTCCACCACCAGCATAGAAGTATGCACATTTGATAACAGTGTAGAGTTAATGCTGATGTTACATTATTCATATTTTTTTGCCATTGAGACAAAAGCATGATACTTCCTAGTCTGCTCATAATTTTAAAAATGCGTTCTTTTGATAAATTGATGTGTTTTATAAGAAAACTGCAAATGGCCTAAATATTTCTTCAATTTAATATGATAAAAATAACTGCACTTATGGCCATATTCTGGTATCTATATATATAAAAGTCCAGCGACGGTTATGGCAGAATGACCAGAAAGACCAGTCCACCATTTGCTATGATGTGCACTGACCACCAGGGGGCAGACACTCAATGCAGGAGTTGCCCCCTGGTGGTCAGTGTGCTCCCACAGGGGAGCGCTGCTTAACCAGAAGCTGGGCTCATGGCTGGTGATCCATGGCAGCACTACCAAGTGGTGGCAGAAGGCAGAGCGGCCAGAATGAGTGTGAGCTGCATGGCGCCCAGCCCAGGTTTGGGCTCTTCCCTGGCTGACTGCCACTTGGCACACTGCTACATCCCCTTGGGGGATGTCTAACTTCCGGTTTAGGCCTGATCCCCACAATCAGGCCTAAACTGGTAGTTGTACATCCCCGAGGGATCACAGATTGCGAGAGGGCGCAGGCCAGGCTGACGCAGGAGGAGGGGGAGGGGACGCAGTGAGGCCTGGATGCGCACGCTATGGCCCAGGGATCCCAGGAACCACAAGCCCAGAGCTTGCTTTCCAATAAAAAGGAATTTTAAAAAGCGGCCGGATGCAGCCGCCCTGGGAAGAGTGGCTCCAGGAGGGAAAAGCCGCCCAGGCCCCGCTCAGCCCGGCTGGCATGCTGTAAAGGACCACACACCGACCATGGTAGTGCCCCCCACCCCACTGCCTCTTGGTCCTGAGGCTCATGGTGACTCCAAAGCCAGTCGTGCCAACAGCTGCTCCCCATCCCTCTCCATGGCTGATGCAGTGCTGCCGGGCCACACCATGTCAGCTCCGGCTTCCGGCTTCCAGCTTCCTGCCCGCCCCTTTGTATACTATGTGCGCTTAGGGTTATGGCTTCGGCCTTTCCAGCCAATAGCACCACAGCACAGCCAGAGAGTGGCAGGACACAACCACCAGGGCTGGCTGGGCATTGATTTGGCCAGTGACTGACATCCATGTCCAGTTACACTGCATGCTTACATTTGTAGGGAAGTAGGGCTCGCCCCTGCCCCCCACCTCACCTTCTAGGCTGAGAAAGGCCTGCTGATCTCCGTGTTTCTCCTCCCGTCCAGGATCAAAACCTCTTGGGGATGAATAATCCCAGCGATGGCCCCAACACACACTTGGTGTCACTGTCACCGACATTCCCAGTCTTTACAGCCTGATCCTCATCCCACAGTGCCCTGCTCCACCCACTGCCACTCCTCACCTGTCACCCCCCAAGGAGCACCTTACGTTATCCTATTTGAAATGTGAGCAAGATCTCAAATGCCACCCCCTGTCTTTCCCCCCCGCCCCAATAGCTCCCTTGCCCTATCTTTCTTCCTCTAAAACTCTTGCATTTTAAAAATATATATTTGATTGATTTTGGGAGGCAGCTATGCTTACCACTATACCACCAATGCTGCACTATTTGATTGATTTTGAAGAGGGAAATAGAGATAGAAAGATCAGTGATGATAGAGAATCATTGATCGGCTACTTCCTGCACATTCCAAACTGGGGATCGCAACCTCCCATGGCCTCTCCCCCTGGCCGGCAGGCCCTGATTAGTGGTGAGGGAAGGAGGGGGGTAGGTGGGGAGGCGGGGAACCTGATTGGCCCTGATCGCCGGCCTGGCCTAGAGACCCAACCCGTGCACAAATTTCGTGCACTGGGCCTCTAGTAGCTTAATAATCAGGTACATATGAAGTATTCAGGACAAGTACTGATTTTATTTTAAGAACTGTAGAAAATATGGCTTAGGGGCAAAATAAATAAAGGAAGAATGTTTACAGCCAACTGTTCACCTGTTTTACCTTGCTCTTTTCCAGTTTCAGAAGACAAGAGCTTATATCTCAATTGCTATGAATATTCCAGTGAAATTTATCTTTATTGTTGAGAGTATTACAGATGTCTCCCTACTTTCCCCCATAGCCCCTCTCCACCTGGCTCCCACTCCACCCCAAGATCTTTTAGTTTTTAGGGCTAGTAGCCATCTATGGTTTCCTTACTGTGCGTGGAATGCCTAGAGAAAGTGATATCAGTAGCTAAATTAATAAAACATATGTCAACGTAAGAAATGTTCAAACCTGTAGAGAATTTTTATGAGTTTATTTGAGCCAAATTGATGAAAATTGTTGGGAAACAAAATCTCAATGGATTGAGAAAATGCTCTGAAAAATGGCAGTTTTTACCACTTATACATTACAATCAAAGAGGAAGACGTAAGGGAGTTACAAGAAATTCATTGGTGATAGATTAGGGAAGCAGAAGAAAGCAAAGGGAGGGGGTGGAATCTCTGGGACTGGATAGAAAGTAAAATGGATGGACACGTAATTATTTTACAATTGTGATTTTAGGAGAGTTAACAGTCAATAATGAACATGATAACAATAACAGTGAGGGGATTTGTGGTCTCTGCTCTGGTGTGTGGTTGTGTCCAGAGGGGTCTGGAAAAAAAAGGGAAATTACCCTGAAATTCCAAAGGTTATGGTAGATGCAAAAAGATTATAGACAGGATCAGTTAAGGTAAAGATTGACCTTTGTCAGGAAAAATACTGGCCCAGGACATGACTCTCTGCCATGCCCT